CAGAGGGCTCTTCCCAGGTTTTATTGAATTTATGGAGCAGGGAATTCCTGGGAGTATCTCTAGATTTTAATGGGCTTAAAACCAGGGAATGAAAACAGAATTAAATTGGGATTTTAGGGATGTTTATTTTCGGTTTTCCCTTGAAAAAATCAGGAATATTTTCCTTGTATTTGGATCAGGCGCTGCAGCTGAACAATTCCAGCCCTGGCTCCCTTGCCTGTTTGCTGGGAATGTTTTCCTTAGGGAGCTGCACCAACACTGCTGGAAAGGTGGGGTCTGGACACTTCTGGGAAGTGTCTGCTGGATTTTGGAGCCTCGATCTGGAATTTTCAGTGTTTTATCTGGGAATTTGGGTGTGGAGCAAAGGGGGTAAAGGAAAAGGGACAGGGAAAGGCCTTGGAAGTGGTGATGGATGGCTGGGCAGGAGTGGGAATACTGAGGAACAGGCACATGGAAATGGGCCTGGAAAAACCCAATTTCATTCCTTCCTTCCCAGCTGGGATTCGGGGATTTTTTCCAAAGGATTATGAGGAGAAGGTGGGGTTTGATCTGCCTGCATCCTGGGAAATTGTGGATGGGTTTGAGGAGGGATTAAGGAATTTCCATGTCCGTGGGGATTTTTTTGGAACTGCTGGAATACCCAGAGCTTTTCCCTCTCCCAACCCTCCCTTCCTCCTTCCAGGCTGTTGACAGAGCTGGAATCTCCTTCCTGGTGGCCCTTCAGCACCAAACTCTGGAAAACCCCTCTGGAAGCGAAGCCCAAGGAAAGCCCCGCAGCTCCCGATCCCGAAACGCAGGAAGGAATCCTGCTGCGAATTCCCGTGATTATCACCCACAGGACGGACTCCAGCGCCAAACCGGGCAAGCTCACGCTGCTTCCCTCCGGCCTGGAAATCGAGGATTGCAATTCCCAGCTGCTGCACCGCTTCGAATCCCGGGATGTGGACGATATCCGTGTGCACACTCCCTACGAGATCAGCGTCCGGCAGAGGTTCATCGGCAAGCCCGACACTTCCTACCGGCTCCTGGCGGCGCGGATGCCCGAGGCCATTCCCATCCTGGAGATGCAGTTCAGCAAGAAGATCCAGTTTTTGGAGGATGCTCTGGGATTTGCCGGAGGAGCCGGGAAGTCTCCTCGGGCGGATTTGGGCGCGTCCATCTGGCAGGCAGGTGGGTGCCAGCGGATTCCAAAGGGTTTTTCCCAAGGAGCGCTCCAGAGGCAAATCGGCCCCGCAGAGAAGTCCGTGGCGAGGATAAATCCAAGGAATAAACTCCAGAGCCATTGGCACTGCTGCTGCTTTTCCTGCAGTGAATTCCCAGCTGGAAGGGAATATCCAATATTCAATAGCCAATAATTAACACCCAATAATTACTATCCAATACCCGCTAATTGATATCCAGTATCCAATATCCCGTATCCAATGTTTAATATCCAATATCCCGTATCCAATATCCAATGTTTAATATCCAACATCCCGTATCCAATATCCAATGTTTAATATCCAACATCCCGTATCCAATATCCAATGCTTAATATCCAATATCCCGTATCCAATATCCAATGTTTAATATCCAATATCCCGTATCCAATATCCAATGCTTAATATCCAATATCCCATATCCAATATCCAATGTTTAATATCCAATATCCCGTATCCAATATCCAATGTTTAATATCCAATATCCCGTATCCAATATCCAATGTTTAATATCCAATATCCCATATCCAATGTGTAATATCCCATATTTAATATCCCAAATCAAATATTTAATATCTCATGTCCTATATCAAATATCACACATCCAATAGTCAGTATTCAGTATTCCATATTTAAAATCCAGTATCCATTATTTCATAATTTATATTGCATATTCCATATCCAAGGTTTAATATCCCATATCCAATGTTTAATATCCAATAGTCCACATCCACTATCCCATATCCAGTGTTTAATATCCCAGATCCAAAATTTTATATCTCATGTCCCATATCCAGTATCACACATCCAATAGTCAATATTCAATATCCCATATTTAAAATTCAGTATTTCATAATTGATACTGCATATTCCGTATCCAAGGTTTAATGTCCCATATCCAATGTTTAATATCCAATATTCCACACCCACTATCCCATATCCAGTGTTTAATCTCCCAAATCCAATATTTAATATCTCATGTCCTATATCCAATATCACACATCCAATAGTCAATATTCAATATCCAATATTTAAAATCCAGTATCCAATATCCAGTATTTCGTAATTGATATTGGATATTCCATATCCAAGGTTTAACATCCCATATCCTATATCCAAGTTTTAATATCCCACATCCAGTATCCCATATCCAATACCCCATATCCAATGTATGATATTTAATATCCCATATCAAGTATGCAATATCCAATGTTTAATATCCAGTATCCCATATCCAATAATAAATATCCAATATCCCATATCCAGTATCCAATATTTAATATCTCATATCCAACATCCCATATCCAGTGTTTTAATATCCCATATTCAATATCCCATATTCCATATCCCATGTCCAATATCCAGTATTTATATTAAATCTTTAATTCCCTTAAATCCTGAATATTTACCCCCAATATCCAGGAATCTTGAATTAAAACATGGGATAAAAAACTGATTTTGCCAGATTAAAAACCCAGGATTTTGATATAAGACAAGCCCAGGTGTGGGAATTGCAGAGATTTTGGAATAATTTTAAGAAAACTTTGGAAAAGTATTTTGGAAATTTGGAAAATTCCCAACAAGAAAATTGATATTCCCTACTACTAATCCTAAAATTCCAGGATGGGTTTTTTTAACCCAACCTTGGGAATTTTCAACAGCTTGGAATTTATTCCTCCCACCATCCCTGAACCCTTTTTGTTTTTGTTTTCCCTAATTTTTAATCCCAAAGTAGCAAAGAAAAGATGTATCCAGTGCCAAAAACAACGGGAAAATCGGGATAAATTCATAAATCCACCAATTTCTGATTGGAATTCCAGCAAGGAAGGGAATATCCTGGTTTTGAGGAATATTCCAGCTTGGAAAAGCTCCTTGATTTTTTTTAAGGAAGTGAATTTTGGCCTCTGGAATTTTGTGTTATTCCAAAAAAATCTCGGTTCCCGATGGGATTCCAGGAAACTTATCGGATCTCCAGCCCTTTTCCAGAGGTTTTCCTGCTGTTTTCCAGCTGGATTTTGTTCTCCTTCCCTACTTAATTTAGAAAATCTTGGGAAGCAGAGGGGAGCTGATGGAAATCCTGACTTTTCCCATTTTATTTGTGTTTTCCTTGGATTTGTCGCTGTTCCCATTCCGTCACAAGGTGGCACTCACGGACTGTGTGGGATACTTTGGGATTTTTCCATGGAAAACTGATTTTTTTCCTTCTTTTTTTGCCATTTTTCTCAAATCAGGAGGGAAAAAAATCAGTTTTTTCTGGTCCCGTCTCCGTGTTTTCCAATAGGGAATTGATCCAAGGATTTTTGGGATAAATATCCTTGTAGGGCATGGAAATCTCTGGGAAAAATCTGGATTTTCCCTCAAAACTGCCACAATCCCACTTGGACCTTTTGTTTACACCAATCCTGCCCTTGGTTTATGCATAAATTTATAGAATTAAATTCCCAAAAAAATCCATTTTGGCTTCATTCCACGTGGAAAAGGAATTTAGGGAATTATTTTTATCCAAAACCTACTGGCTATTTTAATTTTAAAATTAATATTATTTTATTTATTTACTAACAGTATTTTTTCTGGATTTTTTAGCTGCTTTACGCTTTTTCCCAGCTTTTTTTTTGGGGATAAACATTGTAATTTTGGAACAGCTTTGATGCAATTTTATCCCAAAGACCATCTGAGAATTCCCAGGATTAAAAACCTGGATTCAAATCCTAAATTCCATTTGCAGTGGCATCATTTAGGACAACTTAATCCTGGATTAAATTCCAGATTAATTCCCAAATTAAAATTCTCAGATTTTTATCCCTGGAGATAATTTTAATTGCCCTGCTTATCCTTGTGAACAAATTCCCTGATCATTTGGATTTTCCAGGAATTCCTGGAAAAATTGGGTGGATTTTTGTCTTTGACAGAAATAACCCCAAATATTTCTGATTTTCAACCAGTTCCATCCCTAAAAATGTCCTGGGAATTCCAGCTCTCCTTCCCACCTTGGCATTCCCGTGTTTTCTTCCTTATTCCAGGAATTCCTCCTGTCCTCAGTGGGATGAATGGTTGGGAAGGATGGCGGCCTTGATTTTCATGGAATAATTAACAGATGGCTCTTGGGAATTCTCTGGGGAATTCTGTCATTCCCACTTTTCCTAATGAAATGCAGCAAGTGTATCCCAAATAAACAATGCCTGGTTCTTCCCCCTTTGGAAAACAAGGATAACATGGAAAAAATTCCTTGTTTTTCATTGGATGGAAGCTGAATGCGGGGATTGCAAGGATTGGGAATTTGTAGGAATTCTGGAGAGGGATTTAGGCTTTGGTGCTTTCAGGGCAGCTTTTCCTAAGGAAGAGTGGTTGGGATAGATGGGATATTTGGGAAGCAATTCCTGCCTGGAATGGAATTCCCACAGAAGCTGTGGATCCTTGGAAGTGTCCAAGGAAAGTTTGGAGCAGCTTGGGATAGTGAGAGTTGTGGAATGGGATCATCCTTGAGGTCCATCCCAAATCCTGGGATAATCCTGCTTTGTGGATTTGGGAATGTGTTGCCCTGCTCCCATGAATCCTCACATTCCAAATGATCTGGTTTTCCAAAGGCTCCCTAAATATGGAATAAAATTTAAAAAATAATAATGACTTAAAAAAGAAAACAACATTAAGTGACATAAAAATAAAGATAAAATAACAAAACATAAATAAAATGAAATAAAGTGAAATGAGGAAAAAATAAAATAAAAGAGAAGTAATAAAGAGAAAATTACAAACAAAAAGAGAAGAATAAAGGGAAGTTGTAAGGAATACACTTTGAATATTCCCAGCAAACCAGAATTTAATGGGAAAAATTGGATCCTGATTCCTCCCAAATTCCCATGGAGCAAAGCACAGCTCAACCGCTTCCAGAATTCCGGAACAATCCTTAAGGATTCCGCGAGCAGCAATTCTGTTATCCCAAGCTACCCTTGGACATTCCCAGGGATTCCTCAGCTTCTCTGGGAATTGCTGAAGCTTCCCCTCCTTTCCAGGCAGGAATTTTTCCTTAACGTGGAATTTTTCTGGCAGCCACGGGATTCCTGGGTGCCGCGGTGAATCCCGGATTGCCGGCGGGCAGCGCCGAAGGGACGGACAAGGAGCAGGTGCAGCTGCAGAAAATATCCCAGGAGGAAGCCAAGGAGCTCCGACAGGTGAAAATGGGGATGAGATTTCCCAGAATTTCCCAGAATTCCCAGAATGAGCGGGTTGGAAGAGACCTCCAAGATCATCGGGTCCAACTCCACCCTGGCACCCAGTGCCACATCCAGGTTTTGTTAAACACACCCAGGGATGGATGGGGACTCCACCTCCTCCCCGGGTAGAACATTCCAGAACTTTTTTTATTTTATTCCTTCTTCTACACTTTATTTCTTTGATTTTTATTTATTTCATTTTATTTTATTTTTTTTATAACGGGAAAAATATCCTGCCAGAGGGCAGGGCTGGATGGGATATTGGGAATTGGGAATTCCTGGCTGGGAGGGTGGGGAGGGGCTGGGCTGGAATTCCCAGAGCAGCTGTGGCTGCCCCTGGATCCCTGAGGTGTCCAAGGCCAGGCTGGGGCTTGGAGCTGGGATAGTGGGAGATGTCCCCATGGCTGGATGATCCTTAAGATCCCTTCCCACCCGGATTCTGGGATGTCAGAGCAGGAATTATCCCGTTGTTCCGCACGCTCTCCGTGTTTCCCTCCGGCAGATCCTGAAGAAGCTGAAGGGGCTGGCGCTGGAGACGGAGGCGGAGCTGGAAAGGCAGGACGAGGCCCTGGATTCCATCAGCAGCTCCGTGGATCGTGCCACGCTCACCATCGACCGGCAGAACCGCAGGATGAGGAAGCTGACCTAAGCTCCCGGCGGGAATGGGAACGCCGGCACGGGCAGGAGGGTGGGGGAGCCGGGAATTTCAGGACTGGTTTTTCCAGAGACACCTCGGGAGGGGTTTGGGATGAGGTTTGGAAAATGGCGCTGCTGGAGGTGAGTTCCTGAGAGGATTGGACGGTTCCTGGACTTGGATGATGGTTGGATCTTGGATCGTGATTGGATCTTGGAGGATGTTTGGAT